TTTTCGACGGCACGAGTACATTCATATCTCATGTGGTGTTATCATTATTGATTACTGTATCTTGCCAATTAAACCAGGCTATCCGATCTCTGCATATAACACAACTCTGTCAAGCTTGTCCACACCATCTTCAACGGGAACTTTCTGGAAAATTTTCAAATAGCTGTATGTCGTGCTAAACAAAACTTCATGGCAGAATGCTGGCCCAACTTTTCTCACGATCAAGAGACACATAAAGCTCGCTTTTGAGACCAACCCTTCCAAATAAAGCTTCCACAGTATATAAAAATCCTTTCATTGCTGAATGATTGCTCCTCTTTCTTCTTGAATTTCTTGGTTAGCATACTTGTTGGTGAAACGCTGACAGCTCTGCAATCGTTGAAGCATTGGAGACAAACCCAATATCAGAGGAGTTGCTCATTTGATCTTGAATAAGCTGTGATTTTTTGCGCACTCAATCACGGTTCCTTGCTTTTCTGCCACCTGAGAAATCTAAGAAGCTGAAGAACGGATCAAAGATCACCACCAGAATAAGAACGCCGAAAACGGTGACTACTGGTATGTGCATTTTCTTCGGATACGTGTTTATACACACACACATATATATATATACACCAATAGCTCAAATATAAAAATCACTCTTGGTGTTTTGTCTTGAATGCTGAATTAAGTGGCCTTAAACTTGACTTGAACATGGCTATAAACAAAATCAGTATGTCTATTTTCATTGTAAGCCAACTAACTGTTGTAGTTTCCCTGATAACAGCTATCATTTAAAGGTCTGCTGGGCACCATCCCTCCACCGGATTTGAGATAAAGGGTGTGAAAAGGAACTCGACAGTTGCCACCACAAATACACTGACTCCGATCAGTCAACCAGTGAGTATTTTGAAGTGAAATTTTCTCTCTGCCAATAAACCCAGAAATCTGGCTTCCATTATCTTTTCTCACTACTTCTTCTCCAATTTAGCTTCACTCTTTCTTTTCTTTAGGATCTCAACCAATGGGTGGCAACAAGAATGTAACGATTGTTGCTGAGAAACACGTCAATTCTGGCCAGTAGTAAATTTTCTGATCACGCCGAGATCGTTGATAAGCTTATTCGGAAAGTTATCGATACTCATATTTATGGCATCGACGAGGTGTTGGCTAGTGTCCTAGGCTCTGACTCATCTCCTAGATTCGGCCTTACTCCAGCTTTCAAAGATGGTCCACCGGCTTCACTTCTTCTTTACTGTCCTTTAGCCGAGGAACAACTCCTATTTCAACGCAAGTTCTCTAATCCTGTGGACTTCACCAATCTCTTCAAAAATTGTCCGAACCCTCAAAGTGATTGGACTGATTGGGTTGATCGAGTTGAACCTCAATATAAAACACTATGGAAGGAGGTCGGCATTTATGATGCCATCCTTCTTTCGAAACACCGAATACCTATAGATAAAGAGTCATTTACATCATTACTCTTCTTTTGGTCGAGCTCGACCAATGCCTTTCATCTTCGGTGTGGGATGGTTGGTCCGATGGTGCAGGATATTTGCTTCCTTACCGGGCTTAGGCCTCATGACACGAAAATAAATCTGTCTTTTACCATCTCTGTAGTGCCCTCCGAATATCCAAAGAAACTTGGGAGCTCTGAGCGTATCACTACACAAAGGCCTTTTATCAAAACCAGCAAGGGGGACGGAGCTTCGGTCTCTACTGCTGAGCATATTTCTTTCCTAGTGTACTGACTGAATAGGTTTCTATTCTGTATCTCTTCGCTCACAGTCACCAAGGAATTTACTCAATTGGCCCTTGCTCTTCATTCGGGTGAGAAACTTGCCCTAGCTTCTTTCTTGCTTTCCTATCTTTATCGTAGTATCGGAGAGTATGTAACTTCCAACTTCAAAACCTGTTTTGGGCCATTCTGGCAGTTACAACTTTGGGAATACGCATATTTCCCCAAACTTTACCCTGATCTCGACTTGTCGACCACTGTTTCTGTCCATGGCTATCATTATGCACGTATTCAACTAGGAAATAGATCGTTCAAAACCATGTTCTCCTTTTTTTATAAACTCCCTGCATACTGAGCCAGTCATCTTTTCTTACCATTCTCGCCTCGACCGAAGCAACCATTGTGGCTTTCCTATCCCCCTGACCAGGCTCCACCGAGTTGCCAAGAGGAACATACACAAACATGGGCCAGTTTCTTGATTGCTATGGACATCTCTTATGGATGTTCAAGAATGGGCTCTCCAAATAGTAAGTGTGGGGTGGAGTATTACAATCCCCCACAATTTGCTAGACAATTTGGTCTCACCCTATTCGTTCCACTTCCGTCTTTCCGATCTTTCAATACTTCTTTCTTGGAACGAGTGGTCTTCACCTCAAAAGAAACGGTGGATAAAGTATCCTCTCGGTTTAACCGTCTCTACAATAAGTTCTCTTTGCAGCCATTCCCGGAAAATCATGATACTTTTCCATCCTTTGACTACTGGTGGGGAAACCATATTGCAGAGGTTATGGTAGAGGATTCTCGCACTATAGCAAATAAGATTGCCTCCATTTTATCAAACCCCAAGGAGCCTCAACTAAGACATTAAAAGGAATCAGTGTGGCTAATCCTGGTTTTCCTAGTAGGACGAAAAAATCAAAATCTTCAAAAGAAGGTACATAGTCATGCCTACACATGTATAAATACCAAGCTTATGTCTTATATCATAAAGACATGCTTATATATATATATATATATATATATATATATATATATATATATATATATATGCAGCTGTTGCCTCCCATGACCCATTAGGCGTCTCTGATCATGAGGCTGGAATGCTTGAGGCTGACGAAGAAGATGTGACGCCCCCCAAGAGACCTAAGGTTTCCTTATGAATTCTTCAAAGCATAATTGCTTAAAAATTTAGCTTACTTTTATGTGCCAAATATATATACCTTTTTTAACCTCAATGGTATTTCAGGTGACCAAGGCAGGGAAAGGAAAAAAACAAGTTACCTCAATCAGGACTAGCACCCCTTGCCTATTGATTGACGATGAGGAAGAAGAAAATCCTGACCCCTTGATGCTGTCGACTTTCTCGATCGAGATAAATGTCTCCGGCAGTCGTGAGGTAACTAGACTTCAATTTTACTTCAAGTATCAATGTACCTTGCCAATTCTAATGGCACCTTTATGGGCAGGTTTCTTCGCACTCGGCTAGGTCGTTGTCGAGAGATAGGATCAACACTTGTGATGACATTGCGAATTTTGATCACCCTCGTACTAGTGGAGTCGAGTGTCAACAAGCCACTACTCAACCAAACACTGTCTTCCATCAATTTGATGGGGCTGAGGTGATTTTCAAGATGATCTTTCAGTAGATCTCCTGCATATCTTTATCAAAGTTAGGCACTCATAAACATTCTTCTCTTGCAGGTTCCCCCGGGCACACAACCAAGAGTTCCAAGCCCTTACTTTGCACCAGCGACTGCTGCCAGACGCACCTTTGGCCATGTGACTCGACCTTTACCAGTTGGTGTGAGTATTTATGATTCATTCTGTCACTCAAGCCTCAACTTGCTTTACTAAATTCCTTTCATTCGCAGGCTGGCTCAAGTTCTCAGTCCCAACTGCCCCTTCAAACTTATGGCACGATCAATGACTTTGATGCTTACTTCTCGCAGATAGAGGCTGGGTTCGATTTAGATCTCTTGATGAGCGGAGCCAGTTGTTGTGCCTACATCTTCCAATCGTCTGCCAGATATTAAGGGGGCAAAAAGATTATTAGTCGCCGTCGTGTCCCGAGACCTCTCTGAGATGCCAAGTTTGGCTGCTGATGTGACCGATGCCATGTCTGTCCTAATAAATCATCATGATTTAAGTCAAGAACAGATAAACCATCTTCAATCTGTCCAGAGTCAATTCCCGACTCTTGTCTCTGATTTTCAGCTTTCTTCGCAGAAGGCTAGTGAGCTGTCGTTCATGATTCATGAAAAGTTACAGGAGCAAAAATCTCTAATTAAATAAGAGATGGACAATGTTTTCCATTTTCGAACCTTAAAATCAGCTCATGATAAGGGACCCAGAGAACAGCATAAATCGAACGGGAGATAGAACGTCTCAAACTGGAATTGACTGAAACTACTCGATCAAGAGAAGAATTCACTGCTCAGATGAAGGAGATTTATCAAAAGAATGTGGAAATTGACTAGCAAAGAAAATTGGCCTCAAAAGAAATTCCTTGACTGAGGACTGAGAAGGCAAGTGGTCTTTGGCCCTTATGGAATTCAGTTTCCAATATGTGCCTCAAAGGGCTGTAAAGGGACAAGCACTTGCTAATTTCCTAGCCGACCATCCATGCTTGGATGTAGATCCGTGAGTCTATGATGCAATGGAGTTGTGTGCTATTCAACTAACTCCTTGGACTCTAATTTTTAACGGATCAAGCACAAATGATGTCGGAGGGGCCAGAATTGTAGTAATTGCACCAAATGGCAGGAAAACAACATATTCTTTCTTTCTAGACTTCAAATGTTCTAACAATTAAGCAGAATATGAAGCTCTGATTATTGGTCTAGAAATAATCTTAGAGATGAGGGCACAGACCATTGAAATCATAGGTGATTCAAGTCTAGTGATCGGTCAGTTGTCCAGCAATTTCAGGTGCCAAAGTTGGCACCTCAAACCATTTCACTCTATAGCCGTGCAATTACTACAAGAATTTGCAGATGTAAAGGTCAAGCATGTTTATAGATCACATAACAAAGAGGCCAATGATTTGGCTCAAATAGAATCTGACGTTAGGGTGCCAGAAGGAATAATGGAGAATTTGATCAGAATAAAGAAAAGATCATTACCCTCAGTCAAGGTGAGGGAAGAATTGTTGGCAGAGGTCTTTGCAATCGAGGTGGAAGAGAATATAGAGGAGAATGATTAGAGAACACCAATCGTTAATTTTCTCAAAAATCCAGACCCTAAGGCTGATAGGAAGCTAAAGATCAAAGCTCTTAAGTTTGTGATGATTGATGGAGACCTATTCAGGAAAAACATCAAAGATGACCTACTCTTAAGGTGTGTCAGTAAGAAAGAAGCCATGAAAGTAATGGGAGAGACCCATGAAGGGATATGTGGTGCTCACCAAGCTGGAATAAAAATGAAGTGGCTGATTAGAAGGTACGCTTATTCCTGGCCCGAGATGCTTAAAGATTGTATCACATATGCCAAAGGATGTCAAGCATGTCAAAGGCATGGGCCAATCAATAGGGCCCTGGCGATTGAGTTACAGCCAATCATAAAACTATGGCCTTTTAGAGGCTGGGTTATGGATTTGATAGGGAAAGTTTATCCACCTTCTTCTAAACAACATTGTTTTATTATTGTGGCAACTGACTACTTTACCAAGTGGGTCGAGGCGGTGCCCATGAAGTCAGTGCACCAGGAAGATGTGATTCGGTTTATCAAGCAACATATTATTTATAGATTTGGGATCCTAGAATCAATCACAACTGATCGAGGTTCAGCCCTCGTTGCCAAAGAAGTGCAGGCATTTGCAGCAGAGTACGGGATCAAGCTCCTAAACTCAACCTCGCACTTTGCACAAGGAAATGGTCAAGCCGAGTCATCTAATAAGACGCTAAAAGGCATCATTAAAAAAATAGTGGAAGATAACCCCAGGGTGTGGCATAAACTGTTATCAGAAGCACTTTGGGCATATAGGACTTCTCAACGGTCAAGCATAGGTGTGACTCCATTCATGCTCACTTATGGTCATGATGCAGTTTTGCCTATGGAAGTGACTGTACGGTCAATGAGATTTGCATTGCAAAACAATTTGACTTCTGCGGAATACAGTGAATCTATGTTGATCGAATTGGAAGACCTAGATGAAGTGAGGTTAAGAGCTCTCGACCATATACAAGTTCAAAAGAGGCGAGTAGCAAGGGCATATAATAAACGTGTTAGGGCCAAATCCTTCGGCGAAGGTGACTTGGTTTGGAAGACTATCCTCCCAATAGGTGTGAATGATCAAAAATATGGAAAATGGTTGCCAAATTGGGAGGGGCCATTTATAGTTTACAAAGTCTTAAAAGGAGGCGCATATCATTTGCAAGATCTCGATGGGGAGATACACCCTCAGCAAATTAATGGCCGATACTTAAAAACTTATTATCCTACAATGTGGGAGACAATGGAGAATGAAGCCAAAGATGGTTAAATAATCAAAAAGCCATGAAAGAATGCATTTCATTCATCGTTTCATTGAGTACAAAAATTCAAAAAAGTCATTACCTATCATTTTCTTTGCAGATAAACAAAATGACTCATGAGCTCATCCCACTCCTTCTTAGACATGGCCACTTTTTCATCCTCTTTGGCCTTCTCAGTCGAGGAATTTATTTTGAGACCGATTTTCTCTACTGGTCAATTTCCACATTCTTTTGATAAATCTCCTTCATCTGAGCAGTGAGTTCTTCTCTTGATCGGGCAATTTCAGTCAATTCCAGCTTGAGACGTTCTATCTCCCGTTTGATTTCTGCTGTTTTCTAGGTTCCCTTATCATGAGCTGATTTTAAGGTCTGAAAATGGGAAACATTGTTCTTCTCTTGTTTAATCGGAGATTTTTGCTCCTGTAGCTTTTCATGAATCATGGACGACAGCTCACTAGCCTTTTGCGAGGAAAGCTAAAAATCAGAGATGAGAGTCGGGAATCGACTCTGGACAGATTGAAGATGGTTTATATGTTCTTGACTTAAATCATGATGATCTATTAGGACAGACATGGCATCGGTCACATCAGCAGCCAAACTTGGCATCTCAGAGAGGTCTCGGGACACGACGGCAACTAATAATCTTTTTGCCCCCTCAATATCTGGCAGACTATTGGAAGATGTAGGCGCAACAACTGGCTCGCTCATCAAGGGATCTAAATCGAACCCAGCCTCTATCTGCGAGAAGTAAGCATCAAAGTCATCGATCGTGCCATAAGTTTGAAGGGGCGGTTGGGACTGAGAACTTGAGCCAGCCTGCGAATGAAAGGAATTTAGTAAAGCAAGTCGAGGCTTGAGTGAGAGAATGAATCATAAATACTCACACCAACTGGTGAAGGCCGAGTCACATGGCCAAAGGTGCTTCTGGCAGCAGTCGCTTGTGCAGAGTAAGGGCTTGGAACTCTTGGTTGTGTGCCCGGGGGAACCTGCAAGAGAAGAATGTTTATAAGTGCCTAACTTTGATAAAGATACGGGGGAGATGTACTGAAAGATCATCTTAAAAATCACTTCAACCCCATCAAACTGATGGAAGACAGTGTTTGGTTGAGTAGTGGCTTGTTGACACTCGAGTCCACTAGTGCGAAGGTGATCACTATATCGACCATTTAGTTAATGGAGGTCCATCGATCACTAGACTGACAGAGGTATGGCTGATGGAGGTCTATCGATCATTAGGCTGACGGAGGTCCATCGATCACTAGATTGATCATTAGGCTGATGGAGGTCCATCGATCACTAAACTGACGGAGGTATGGCTGATGGAGGTCCATCGACCATTAGGCTGACGGAGGTCCATCGATCACTAGATCGATCATTAGGCTGACAGAGGTCCATCGATCACTATATCGACCATTAGGCTAATGGAGGTCCATCGATCACTAGACTGACTGAGGTATGGCTGATGGAGGTCCATCGATCATTAGACTGACGGAGCTCCATCGATCACTAGATCGATCATTAGGCTAATGGAGGTCCATCGATCACTAGATCAACCATTAGGCTAATGGAGGTCCATCGATCACTAGACTGACGGAGGTATGGTTGATAGAGGTCTATCGACCATTAGGCTAACGGAGGTCCATTGATCACTATATCGACCATTAGACTGATGAAGGTCCATCGATCACTAGACTGACGGAGGTATGGCTGATGGAGGTCCATCGACCATTAGGCTGACGGAGGTCCATCGATCACTATATTGACCATTAGGCTGGAGGTCCATCGATCATTAGACTGACGGAGGCATGGTTGACGGAGGTCCATCGATCACTATGGCTAATAGAGGTTCATAGATCATTATGACTGAAGATAGTTTCTCAACCATCATGATCTAAGATTTTCCATGGTCATGGTCAAGAGTCTTAGTCACTATGACCTCAGAAATTCTCTCGACCAACCATGGTCGACAGTTTCTACCAATGATCGAGAGTACACCTAAATTGATGGACAAGCTCAGTTTAAGATGGATCTAATATCTCTTCAGGTTATAATCACTTGAAGAATCTTTGATATGATTCAAATAAAGACTAGCTGTGAATCCCAAAATTTTAAGAACCCAACAAGTCAGGTCTGGAAATATAAAGAAAGCTTGAAATAGAAAAGGACAACTTGACAATATCAGAAGTTCAGAACTACAGATGTACATCTGATGAGGAAAGTCAGAATTGTTAGTAATAAGATGACTCCAGGCTAATGAACAAGTCAAGCCAGATATGACAGGTGCAGAGAGCTGAAAATGGCTTGAAGACCAAAATCATCAAGCATGAAAGAAAGGGCACCACTTAGTCAAAAATACTATGTCAGACATACTTGTATCTGCCTATAGAGAGATGTGTAAGTTCGTCAACCTGACCAGCTCAGCAAGGTGGTTAGGAAAAGTCACTTTCAGCTTACAACCAATCAATTTCTAGAGAAACGATTGAAAGGGACAACACCAGGTGGAAGCTTCTATAAATACCCACTCAAGCCTCATAAGGAAGGGGTCCAAGACCATTTCTAAAGTTCAACCTTTAGCATTCATATCACTTAGCACTTAGCTTTTATTTCATCAAATTCAGTTTAGCACTTAGCTTTTATTTTAGCAAGTTCAGTTTAGCACTATCAGTTTAGTACTTAGTTCATCTTTCAGCATTCAATACTTTAGTTTCCACTTCAATCAAGAGTTTGTAATTCATCATTGTAATCAGTCAAGTTTAATTAAGAAAGGTTTGCAGATTCAGGTATATTTATTGTTATGTTGATTTGCTTATAATTGATATCTATCTTGAATGTTTAAAGTCCTTTCTTAAAGACAATAGCAACCTTAAAGAGATGGTCATTCCTACTCTCCAACTTTCGCCTGAATCACCTTAGGTCGGCAATCCGACCCGATGGAAATAGTTTGGTAAGAAATATTCGAGTCCATCAGGACTCTAGCATGCTCGTGTTCTAGGTCAGCCATTTATTGGCTAGCGACCTCAGACCACCTTGTGAGCCAAATTTAAATTTATAGTGAAGAAAAACTTTGCAAAGGATTCGTTTTCAATAGATATCCATCTTAAAAGGGTAACAAATAGAAACACAAAATAAGAAGTTCGAAACGTATCATAATATATTTGGACTGAATCAAAATATAAAATTATTAATATATTAATAGTGGTTTTAAATGAGAAACTTACAAATTTATTTGTTTCTAGGGGAACTTGAATCTTCACCAACTGTTTTGGGGGGTAAATAAGACCACTGGACAATAACACCTTTGGCCGAAAAGTAAGACATTAAAAGATTCAAATTGAAATTTTCTAAAATATACTATAACCATGTCCCCAATTTTTAATTCAAGGTTTGAATGTGTAAGGTTAAGAACAACAGTACTTTAAAATGAGGTTTGTAAGACGTCTAAACGAATTCAGTTCGACAATTTCGGAGGTATTTTGAAATACCTCAAAGTAATTAGGGGGTGTAATGCAATTTACCTCTTCCATGTACCAGATTCGAACCTTGGCTTTTGGTTTAAGGGTTGAAGCCCTTGGCCAAAAGGCTACAAGGAGAACCAGTGACGGGTTGTTCTCCTTTAATCAACTTAGCATCAGATTTCTTCTGATCAGATTTCTTCTGAAATACCCAAAACCAAGGGCAAGGTAGTACTGATATATATATATATATATATATATGAGTATTCATTATGAATACTTCAAATTATTTATTTATTTATTCTTTATTTTTATGATTTATGATATTTTGGGTCTCTGAGTTTCAATATAATGACAGTTGCTCATTTCTCAAAGGGAAAGAATTTCAGCATCTCTTACTGCCAAATACTCTGCATAATTTTGAAAATTATAATAAATACTAAACATCTATTCTATTATGAAAATGATGATTTACAGGTTTCTTGTTGTCACTGTCAATCAAAAACAGATATTGAATGCGATAGATATATATACATATATATTTGTTTTGTTGGTAACTAAAAACCCTTCCAATCAGGTTATTTATGTAATAATGTAATGTTGCAAAACACGATAATAAATAAAATAAATAATTGAATTTACATTTCTTTTGCTCTTTGAGAAAGAAAGAAAAAAAAAAATAAAGATTGTTGAATTAATGCAAGGGAAAAATGGGGAAAAAAATCAATGAAATTTTTTTTATTTTGAAATCCTAGTTGCTATTTTTGCCCCTTTTTTAAAAAAAAAAAAGAGCCACACATACTCTTTTTGCTCACACCGGGCTCTCCACTCCTCTTTGAAGATAGGGAGACCATACCAATTGGGCCAAATGACGATTGGTTAATTTTTTTTGTCTTTATTAGGAAAATAATATAAAATTAAAAAGTGAGGTATTTTATAATAGGGTAAAGTACAGTCACACTCCCTCAGGTTTGACAAAAAGACAGACAGACGAAAGTTACTCATTTTTTAGATAATGACACCCCCTCTCCTGAAATCTGTCCAAACAAGGCCTTAAGTCATATGAAAAGACAAAATTACCCCTCAATATTAAATTCAAATATATTACAAAATATCAAACCTTGCAAAATGACGCTATAGCCACTTATATATACATACATACATATATACACACGGAGAAAACGTTGGTGCTTGGTAAAGCCGTGAAATTGGTTGGCGTCGCCGTTGTTAGTGGCGGCTACGGTGGAGGAGGGTGGTTGTAGGTTGAGTTTCTTGGAGGTGGGTTGTTGTTCTTGGAGAGACGATGACACCACACACCTCCCACACAACGAAGAGATCCAGTCAGAGAGGGTTGGGAGGTGAATCGAAAAGATTGGGTGTTGGGAGGTGAATCAGAGAGGGTTAGGTGACCGCTGTATGATGCGACGGTCGGTGCCGGTGGACAAGGACGGAAGAAATTGAGGGAACACCGGCGAAGGTGATTCGGAAGAGAGAAGAACAGGTCACCAGTTAAAAATTTAAATATACCCCTTCTAGTAGGTATAGCCACTTGTTTT